TTCTAAAATTAGTGCGGTGGCTAAAATAGCACTACCATAGGCACACCTGTGGCTAGTCAGTGATTTCTATTGGACAACACTGTATTAGAAGAGTTAGATGCCGTAGAGGAGCTCGTGCCAGCTTTGGCTGGATAAACCAAATGACCTTTATATATATTTTACCCTAATTTGAAGCAATTTCTCCTTTCACCTTTATATGGCACAGTCGCAAAATTGTGAGTGGGCCCAAAACAATCTGGTTGTTAACAGTGTGTTGAAGGTAAAATAGTTTTGATAACATGATGAGTCAGGAGTATGATGACTTGTCAATCAGCCAAATGGATTTGGTTTATTTTACAAAGCTCAAAGATGAGTTGGAAATCGGAAGACATCCATTTTGAATTGAATATAAACATAATCTGTACTATTTGCACTAATGAGCTAATCCATGCAGTGTGAGAATTGGCTGATTATCAAACATTTGGAGCTGTTGATAAGGAATTTCAACTAAAAGAATCATTGTTTTAAAAGAGGGCAAAATTCCCTAAGTACACGCACGTTTATTCTCATATGTTGTATCTATAACATTTCGTTTTTTATATTTTAAAATAAATAGTATGCTGTATTCATTTTTAAAATTTGTACAGTATGATACAAAAACGAGGTCTGCAAAGGATTTCTAGCCTTGTTTCATACAGGAAGAACAGACTAAAGACCATTTGGAACGCTGCAGCCCATGTCCAATCCTGCACCAGGTTCCTTGAGCCCATCACCACCATCCTTACTTGACAACGCTGACTAGCAGATTATATTCAAGATTCTCATCTTGACTTATCAGTGCCTTCATGGCTTCTCCTATTATTCTGTTCTCTCACAAGACTATTAACGGTCATGTCACTCAGACAGGATCCCAGAGATATCCCATTGAACCTGAACCTAACAGAAAGGGGAAATGAGAAAAGATTAAGAATAAGAGGTAAATTTGGTAAGAAGAAAAACATGGAAGTTTTAGACTTAGCCAGAATTGTTGCGCTTTCAAATGACACAATCACTACACTGCAGTATATCCTGTTGAGAGCTGTGAGACATCCTCCTGACATTAAAGGCACTAACCAGGGAGCTTAAGTTTTTATGAGAGATATCATTATTACACACATTTCTCTGCACATTGGGGTCAAAATTGTGTATTCATAACTCATTCTGTTTCTTGAATGAGGTTATAATTTGTTTTGAAATACTCCCCCTCACCAACTGGTTTGGTTATTGGAAAGTCTTGTTTTAGACAGTGGCCTTTCAGTTGTTGTTTTGTAGGACATTTGTTTAATTACTGTAAAGCAGCATTGAAAGGCAACAATCTGGGATCCAACATTTTAACACCAGCTGCAAAAGATCTTCAAGCATTGGGCCAGCAGGCATTTTTTTCCTGGCCACAATCATTGTAGGCCATGCATGTTGCTTCTTTGTTTTAGATCCAGCTGCATGGATGCAAAGAGTATCAGTCTAACTTAATAAATAGCTTGATATTCTTTTGCAGTCAGTGTTGATGTTTTGGATCTCAGATTGTGTCCCTTCCAAAATGGCTTGAAAGAATGATGACTGAATAAATTGATATTCTGCAAAGTGACACCGGAAAGTCTGATCCCTGGGGTGAAAAAAAGCAGCTTCACTAGGCAGAAAAACCGAAATAGTGCCTTATAACATTTTGGATGCTACCATTATTTGGACATCAGGGCAGGAAGTATTTCAAAACACATTTTAACTTTGTTCCTTAATTAAGGAATGGAACATGTTTCAGAATAGCACAATTTTGACCCGACTGCCTTCTTTCATAAAATGGATAATTTCTTTTTACTTGCTTCAACGTAGCAAACTACACACTCACTCCCTAGACATCAGTCTGCCCCTCTTTACTATGTTGGTCTTTAACCCTCTTTTTTCCTGTTAAAAAACATAACATTGGTAGGTGCATGCAAGAATTTATACAACTTTGCATTTATGTAGCGCCCTTCACGCGGGTAGCATCCTGGAGTGCTTGACAGTGGTGGTGACTTATCCTGAGCCAGGGGGAGGGAGAGAGAGGGAGGGGGAAGTGACCATAAGCACATTCAAAAAGGAAGGTCTTTAGGTGGGATTTGAAAGTGGGGAGGGAGGGAGGAGGCAAAGCAGAGGGATTAAGGGAGAGAGTCCAGAGTTTTGAGGCATAGTGGCTGAAGGCACGGCCACCGATGGTGGAGCAGAGGGCATGAGGGATGAACAGGATGCTGGAGCCAGCTGTGCAGAGGCATTGGGTAGGGGAGTGGAGGATAAGCAAATCAGATAGGTAGGGAGATGCGAGGGCATGAAGGGATTTGAAAACAAGTGAGAGTATCTTGAAATCGATCCGTTCAGTATTTGGGAGCCAGTGGAGCCTGGCAAGGACAGGTGTGATGGGGTACGGGGTTTTATGCAGGTGAGAATCCAGGCGGTGGAGTTCTGAATTAGTTGTATTTTGTGTATTGTGGAGCTGGGGAGACCAGCGAGGAGGGCATTAGAATAGTCAAGCCAGGAAGTGAAAAAGGCATGGACGAGTTATACTGTGGAAGTCAAAGGGTCAACATCTCTCTCTATTTCAGGGCATGCTTAACTGTCAACTCATTGACCAAGTATATTTCAGTGTATGAAAACAGACACAAGATTGATCTGTTCTGGTGCACTACATGCATTAAGTATTGGAAGCATGTAATGTGCTTGTGCCTTATATAGAATGC